TCAGGAGGCCAAGGTGGGTGGATCACGAGGTCAAGACATCGAGACCATCCTGGTCAACAAGGTGAAACCCTGTCTCTACTAAAAATACAAAAATTAGCTGGGCATGGTGGCGCACGCCTAGTCCGAGCTACTTGGGAGGCTGAGGCAGAAGAATTGTTTGAACCCAGAAGGCGGAGGTTGCGGTGAGCCAAGATCGTGCCCTTGCACTCCAGTCTGGATAACAACAGCGAAACTCCATCTCAAAAAAAAAAGGAAGGCTGCCTTAAATCCTATTGTAAGTGAACAGAATGTAAATTATTCAAATATAAATAACAAAGACAAGGGTAAAACTTCATTGGTCACTATAAAATAGCTGTAATAACTATAGTAATTTATATCTAATTGCCATGTGGCATAGAGATTACGGGACATTGCGTCATGCACATCATACACCAAGCTCTTTGTGATAAGGGCAGCAAATTCTGCTCCACTGTGTGTGCTCTTGTAGTCAGCTTAAAAGAACCAAGGGTAAAATTTGACTTAATCTTGAGTTTTTGCTTCAGGGCAAATTGCTGGGATTACAGGTGTGAGCCACCAAGCCCAGCGTGAATAATTTTTTTACATGGCAGAAACAGAACCAGATCCTGTCTCCAAAAAACAGAACTACACACACAATTCTTTCTTCTTCTTTTTTGTGGTTTTGTTTTGTTTTGTTTTTAAAGATGGGGTCTCTATTACCCAGGCTGGAGCACAGTGGCACGAACATAGCTCACTGCAACCTCTAATTCCCTGGAGGCTTTTGAAATTTTTTTTCTGGAGAGACAGGGTCTCACTTTAACTTCCAACCTCAAGAGATCCTCTCTCCTTGGCTTCCCAAAGTGTTGAAATTAGAGGTGTGAGCTACCGCATCTGGCTGTTTTTGGTTTTTTCGTTAAACAGACCCAAAAGCCAAATGGACACCTCTATAGGCATACCTTGTTTTACTATGCTTTGCTTTCTGGCACTTCTCAGATATTGCAAGTTTTGTAAATTGAAGATTCATGGCAACAAGCAAGTCTATTGCTGTCATTTTTCCAATAACCTGTGAGCTCTTTTCATGTCTCTGTATCACATTTTGGTAATTCTCTTAATAGTTCAAACTTTTTCATTATTATTATATCTGATATGGTGATCTGTGATCAGCAATCTTTGATATTGCTACTGTAATTATTTGGGGGCATCATGAACCTTCTCCATATAAGATGACAAACTTAACTGATACATGTTTTATGTGTTCTGACTGCTCCATTGACCAGCCATCCCCCTTCACTCTCCCTTTCCTTGGGCCTCCCTATTCCTTGAGACACAATATTGAAATTAGGCCAATTAATAACCCTACAGCTAAGTCTTTCAAATGAAAGGAAGAGTTGTATATCTCTCACTTTAAATCAAAAACTAGGAATTATTAACTATGGAAAGCTGAGATAGGGATGGGCGTGGTGACTCACACCTATAATCCTAACACTTTGGAGACTGGGGTGGGAGAATTGCCTGAGCCTGGGAAGTAGAGGCTTTAGTGAGCCATGATTGTGCCTCAGCACTCCAGAAAAAAGGAAGGGAGGAAGGAAGAGAAGAAGGGAGGAAGGGAGGGAGGGAGGAAGGGAGGAAGAGAGGAGAGAGGGAGGAAGGAAGGAGGGATGGAAAGAGGGAAGGGAAGGAGAGAGGGAAAGGGAGGGAGGGAGGGAGGGATGAAGGGAGAGAGGGAGGGAGGGAGAGGAAGGGAGGGGAAGGGAGGAGAGGAAGGGAGGAAGGGAGGAAGAGAAGAAGGGAGGAAGGGAGGGAAGGGAAGGAGAGAGGAGAGGAGAGGAGAAGAGAGGGAAAGGGAGGGAGGGAGGGAGGGAAAGGGAGGAAAAGGAAGGGAGGGAGGGAAGGAGGGAGGGAGGGGAAGGGAGGAGAAGGGAGGGGAAGGGAAGGGAAAAAAAACTGAGATAGGCTAAAAGCTATGCCTTCTCTTTTCTCTTCTTGCCTTGGTGTCCTAGTAGCTGGGATTACAGGCACTTGCCACCTCATCTGGCTAATTTTAGTAATTTTAGTAGAGACAGGGTTGCACCATGTTGGTCAGACTGGTCTCAAACTCCTGACCTCAGGTGATCCACCTGCCTTGGCCTCCCAAAGTGCTGGGATTACAGGCATGAGCCACTGCGCCCAGTGCTATGCATTTTTTTTAGCCAGGTTGTGGATGCAAACAAAAAGTTCTTTTTGTTTAGATTTTTTTTTTTTGTCTGTTTGTTTTAAACCTTTATGGTTTGACTCTGGAAAATGGAAAAGTTATTGAAGGAAATTAGAAAGGCCCAGACCAGCCTAGGCAACATAGTGAGACCCTGTCTGTATTTAAAAAATAAATAAATAATTTTTTTTTAACCAAAAAAAGAAAAATTTGAAGCTAGCAGAGGTTGGTTCTTGAGGTTTAAGAAAAGAAGCGATCTCCATAACATAAAAATGCAAGGTGAAACAGCAAATGCTGATGGGGAAACTGCAAGTTGTCCACAAGGTCTAGCTAAGATAATTAATAGTAACTACACGGGGAAACCGCCTTCTATTGGAAGACGATGCCACCTAGGGCTTTCATAGTTAGAGAGAAGCTGATCCCTGGCTTCAAAGCTTCAAAGGACGATCTTACTATCTCGTTAGAGGCTAAATGCCGCCAGCAGCTTTACATTAAAGCCAATGCTCATTTACCATTCTGAAAATTCTAGGGCCCTTAAGAATTATGCTAAATCTACTCTACCTGTGCTCTATAAATGGAACAAAACCTGGGTGACAGCATATCTGTTTACTACAGCATGGTTTACTGAATACTTAAGCCTACTGAGACCTACTATCCAGAAGAAAAAAAGATTCCTTTCAAGATATTACTGCTCATTGACAATGTCCCCGGTCAACCAAGAGCTCTGCTGAAGATGTACCAGGAAATTAATGTTTTCATGCTTGCTAACGTAACATCCATTTTGCTGCCCATGGAACGTGAAATCATTTTGACTTTCAAGTCTTATTATTTAAGAAATACATTTCAGCCAGGTGCAATGGCTCACCCCTGTAATCCCAGCACTTTGGAAGGCCAAGGCAGGTGGATCACCTGAAGTCAGGAGTTCGAGACCAGCCTGGCCAACACGGTGAAACCCAGTCTCTACTAAAAATACACAAAATTAGCCGGGTGTGGTGGTGGGTGCCTGTAATCCCAGCTACTTGGGAGGCTGAGGCAGGAGAATCACTTGAACCCGGTAGGCAGAGGTTGCAGTGAGCCAAGATCATGCCATGGTACTCCAACCTGGGCAACCAGAGCAAAACTCCATCTCAAAAAATAAAAATAAAAACAAAAACAAAAGAAGAAATACATTTTATAAGGTGATAGCTGCCATTGATTCCTCTGATGGACCCAGGCAAAGTAAATTGAAAAAGTTCTGGAAAAGATTCATTATTCCAGATGCCATTAAGAACATTCATGATTCATGGGGAGTCAAAATATCAACATTAACAAGATTTTGGACAAAGTGGATTCTAACCCTAATAGATGACTTTGAGGGATTCAAGACTTCTATGGAGGAAGTAACTGCAGATACAGTGGAAATATCAAGAGAACTAGAAGTGGAGCCTGAAGATGTGACTGAATTGCTGCAATCTCATAAAATTTGAACAGATGAGGAGTTGCTTCTCATAGATGACCAAAGAAAGTGGTTTCTTGAGATACAATCTACTCTTTGTGAAGATGCTGTGAACACTGTTGAAATGACAACAAAGGATTTAGAATATTCCATAAACTTAGTTGATAAAGCAGAGGCAGAGTTTGAGAAATCTGGATTGACTCCAATTTTGAAAGGTCCACTGTGGGTAAAATATTATCTATCAGCATCACATGCCATCAAGAACTCTTTCATGAAAACAGAAGTCAATCAATGTACCAAATGCCATTGTTGTCTTATTTTAAGGAATTGCCACAGCCACCCCAACCTTCAGCAGCCACCATTCAGATCAGACAGCAGCCATCAACATGGAGCAAAAACTCTCTACTAGCAAAGAATATGACTTTCTAAAGGCCTAGATGATTGTTAGCATGTTTTAGCAGTCAAGTATTTTATTTACTTGTTTGTTTTAAAGACAGGGTCTCACTCTGTCTCCAGGCTGGGGTGCAGAGGCATAATCACAGCTCACTGTCATCTCGACCTTCTGGGCTCAAGTGACCCTCCTGCCTCAGAGCAATAACAAATGTACATATACTTTTTCCTCCCTCTCTCCCAATATTATCAATTAAGGTATGCACATTGTTTTAGACATAACATTACACACTTACTACATTATAAACGATTGTATGTGCACTGGGACATGAAATATTTGTGAGACCTCACTTTATTGCCATATTGCGGTGTTCTGGAACCAAGTTCGCAATTATCTCTGAGGTATGCCTGTAGCAGATTTTCTGTGCTTGGGTTTAGTCCACATCGTAAATACCTTGAAGGCAAAAGGAACAGGGCAGAGAACACAGAGGACAATACATATTTGCTGAAAAACAGTACAACTGCTGACGACCACAGCCTTGCCTTCTCCAGTTGACTGTGCAGCAAATGTTGCCAATTTGCCAGAGGCAAGCAACTCGAAGAGAGAAAAGCTGCCTCTCCAGTTGACAAGAAAAGTACTGGGTTTGTCTTCTGCGGAGCACCAGCAACCCAGATCCCGACCGAGATTCCTGAGACCCACTTTTGGTGGAGGGAACTCCTAGCAGCAACGCCCAGCCCCCGGCGTGACCCTCCGACCGCACTTGCCTCCCAGGTTGAAGGGGTGGAAGGGGCCGCCCGGAGTCCCCTCAGTTCGTCAGTAAGTGCCCCCTGGGCGGAAGCGGAGCAGAGGCCCCTAAGTCAGGCTCGAGGCGAGGGGCGGGGCACGGCGGGCCTTACGCCCCCGCCCCTCGCCGGCGCCCCAGCCCTGCGCGCCGGGCCTGCGTGTCCTCGCGCCGACCCCTCCCTCGCGCTCCTCGGCGGGCGCACGCGCGTGGCCTCGCGCTGGGCGGGGAGAGGCGGTGGCTCTGGGCGTCCCGCCCCGAACCTGTCAGACCCGGGTAGCCTGCCTCCAGCTGCGGGCGCGGCGGGCGCGATAAGCGCGAGCACGACCCGGCTCTCCCCCGGCCCCGAGTGGAGAAGCGCGAGCGGGCCTCGCCTAGCCGGCCGGGGGCGGGGAAATGAGCTGTAGCCCCGCGGCAGCGCCCCAGGTATTAAATAGATGCGCCGCCCCCTCGCGGAGCCCCGGCGAAGCCTCGGGGCCGACCTTGCGACCCGCCGCTCGCGGCTTCGGAACTTGAGGACAGGGCTGGGCGCCTTTAATTTATAACGTGTTTCATTTTCCACAGGATGGGGAGGGACGCGCGGCACTGCCGTCGAGAACTGGCACTCCGGTGAAGTAGGCGCCGCCGGCCGTCCGCCTCCCGCCAGCCGTTCTGCGCCGCGGCCGCTCAGCCTCTGCCATGGCCGGCTCTGGCGCGTGGAAGCGCCTCAAATCTCTGCTGAGGAAGGATGACGCGCCGCTGTTTTTAAATGACACCAGCGCCTTTGACTTCTCGGATGAGGCGGGGGACGAGGGGCTTTCTCGGTTCAACAAACTTCGAGTTGTGGTGGCCGATGATGGTTCCGAAGCCCCGGAAAGGCCTGTTAACGGGGCGCACCGGACCCTCCAGGCCGACGATGATTCCTTACTGGACCAGGACCTACCTTTGACCAACAGTCAGCTGAGTTTGAAGGTGGACTCCTGTGACAACTGCAGCAAACAGAGAGAGATACTGAAGCAGAGAAAGGTGAAAACCAGGTTGACCATTGCTGCGGTTCTTTACTTGCTTTTCATGATTGGAGAACTTGTAGGTGAGTTGTGTTGCCAACTCACCCCTTTTACCTTTCCTCGAGAGTCTTTGTCAGCTGTAGTTACACAGGCTTTGCGGTTTAAACCATCTTTTCAGGAAGTTTGTATTTACGAAGACACTGATCTCATGTGAAAAGGCCACACGGTTCCAAAGTGCAGCTCAATCTAAGTACAACATAAACACCCCGAGATAACTTTTTTTTTGTTACTACTCCCGAGATAACTTTGACTTTGTCTTCTAGTTCTTCAAACACTGTCACCTACTGTAAAGTTAAGGACGTTATCTTCATTATATGTCACATAACTTCCTCTTTTTACAAAATTCTGATAAAATACCAGGTTAATTTTTGCAGCGTTTAAAATAGTAAATGATGGTAAATTACTTAGGATCATAGAATTTTACAGTATGAAGGGACCTTACTGAACACCTGTTCTCCACCTCCTCTTTTTTTTTTTTTTTTTTTCCTTTTACATGTAAGGATTTCCAGGGCACAAACAGGTGAAATAAGTTGTGAGGGCCATCTAATGGAAGAGCCGCATCTACAGTCCCAGCATTTTTTCCTCTACATTTGACCTAAGTGGTTTCTCTTATACTATTTCCTTTTGTGTTTATAGCCAAGAGTTTTGCAAAATTAATTACCAACTAACATGAAATTTTTTCATTATAAGGAGGGCCTGAAATGAACCATGGGACTCCGCCATAGTTCTATAAGCCTGGTTTTCTTTTTCATTTTTTAATTATATTAAACACTCCATTTTCAATATAAGATACACTCAGTTTAGAGGTTATTTTCAGTCACATCAGTATAACTACTAACTTCTCAGTGACATTTACAAAGTGACATTAAAAGGAGGTGATTCTCCCATGTTATCTCTTAATGATGAACCATGAAAAAAACAGATGGCAGTCCAGATTTAAGATGCTTGACTAGACAGTTCTATGTAGGAAAAATTATATACATTTCCTACCTCATTTCATAACATTTCTCCCCAGGTTCACTTCAGCCATGCAGGCCTTTTTCCTCCTACAACTCACAAAGCTCTTTTTGCCCCTAGGTCATTCAAAGTAGCTGGTCCCTCTATCTCAGGGGCTTTCAGACATTTTTTGACCTCACTATAGTAAGAAATACACTTCACATTGTGACTCAGGTAGGCATGCATGCACACATATGTATGTGAATACACACAGGTCACATGTATAAATATACATAAAACTGAAACAAAATTTTTCCTTCATGTGATGTATCCTAATAGTTTTTCAATTGTGGTCCCAGCTTACTAACTGTATTTCATGGTTTACTGCAGTAGGTCAGGGCCTGTAGTTTGGAAAACACTGCTTTACATAGACTGCCTTTCCCAAATCTTTTCTTCGCCAATTTTTTGTCATTTGGTGTCTTATTTTAAAAGACACCCTGGCTGGGCATGGTGGCTCACACCTGCAATTCCAGCACTTTGGGAGGCTGATGTGGGTGGATCACCTGAGGTCAGTAGTTCAATACCAGCCTGGCCAACACGGTGAAACCTTGTCTCTACTAAAAAAAAAAAAAAATATATATATATATATATATACACACACACACACACACACACATACATATATATATATATATATATATACAAAAAAAAATTAGCTGAGGGTGGTGGCAGGTGCCTGTAATCCCAGCTACCCAGGAGGCTGAGACAGAGAATCCCTTGAACCGGGAGGTGGAGGTTGCAGTGAGCCGAGATTGTGCCATTGCAGACCAGCCTGGCAACAAGGGTGAAGCTCCATCACAAAGAAAAAAAAAAAAAAGAAAGAAAACAACCACAACAAAATATTCAGAATGTTACACGGAATTAAATTGTATATAATAGAGCATTTATTAAAGTGTGTTCAAAGCGCTTACAAATAAAGCATCTTCAACCTCACTTGAGGTTAGGAGGAAAGCAGTCTGGCCAATGTGGTAAAACCCTGTCTCAACTAAAAATACAAAAAGTAGCCAGTGTGGTGGCATGCTCCTGTAGTCTCAGCTACTGGGGAGGCTGAGATGTGATAATTGCTTGAACCTGTGAGGTAGAGGTTGCAGTGAACCAAAATCATTCCACTGCACTCCAGCCTGGGTGACAGAGTATGACTCTGTCTCAAAAAAAGGAAAGAAAGAAAAATAAAGCATCTTACGTAGGAAGTATGGAATAATAAAAAATGAAGCAATTTGGCCGGGCACAATGATTCACACCTGTAATCCTGGCACATTTGGGAGGCCAAGGTGGGCGGATCACTTGAGGTCAGGAGTTCAAGAGCAGCCTGGCCAACATGGTGAAACCCCGTCTCTGCTAAAAATACAAAAATTACCCTGAAATTGCTTGAACCCAGGAGACAGAGGTTGCAGTGAGCTGAGATCGTGCCACTGCACTCCAACCTGGGCAACAGAGTGAGATTACATCTAAAAAAAAAAAAAAAGGAGCAGTTTGGCCAGGTGTAGGAAGTATCTTATGTAGGAAGTATAGAATAATAAAAAATGAAGCAATGTGGCTGGGCGCAGTGGCTCATGCCTGTAATACCAGCACTTTGGGAGACCGAGGATTGCTTGAGCTCAGGAGTTCAAGACCAGCTTGGGGAACATGGCGAAACTCTCTCTTTACCAAAAATAGAAAACCTTAGCCTGGCATGGTGGTATGTGTCTGTGGTCCTAGCTCCTCTGGAGGCTGAGGTGGCAGGATTGGTTGAGCCCAGGGGGCAGAGGTTGCGGTGAGCAGAGATCTGGCTACTGCACTCCACCCTGGGTGAGTGTGAGACTCTGTCTCAAAAAGAAGGGGGAAAAAATGAAGCAATTTAAAGATCTGAGATACACTTGGTTGGCTTTGCCACTTAACTTGCTCTGAGACCTTGGTCAAGATCCATTCTTTCCTTCTCTTTGGAAGTATATTTTGAATACTTACACTATGTGCCCCATGTTCTGAATATACAGTGGACAAAAAACTATTATGATCCCTACTATCTGGTGAATTTAATCCAATGGAAGAGACAGACATTAAACGTGTAAGTAAATTTAAAATTTAGATGGTCCCAAGTGTTAGGAAGAAAAAGAAAAAGGTAGTATAAGACATAGTAACCAGTAGGACATAGTTTATCAATGGACCAGGTATATTTAAGCCAAAAAAAAAGAATAGTAGGAGTTACCCAAACAGAGTGAGGGAGTTTTCTGAGAGAAGACAACAGCATGTACCAAGGTCCTAAAGTCTTCAATTCTTCAAAAGGAATTAGAAAGAAGGCCAGTTTGGCTTCAGTGTGTAACCATGAGGGAAGAGTTAGGAGGAAGAGATCAGGCAGGTCCTGGTAGGGAATGTTAAATGAGTGTAGTTTCATTTTAAGTGCAATGGAAACCAGTTAAAGGTTTTAAGCAGGAGAGTAACAAAATGGGATTTACCTTTTTGAAAGATTACTCTGGCTGTTATATGAAGAATGGATCGGAGGGCATTTCTTGGAAGCAAGAATATGAGTCTGTGGTTAGAAGAGAGGTCAAGGTGGAGAGAGATACATATATAATGCCATAGGAATGGGTAAAATTACCTGGAGAACCCAAGTCCCGAGGAACTCCAACGTTAGAAGTCAGGCTGAGGGAAAAAGGTGTTCCAAAAAAAATTCTAAAGGGTATTTCAAAGTGGAAATAAACAGGTTGAAACTGTTGAGAGGTCTAATTAGAACAAAAACATCCTTTGGATTTGGCAGCAGAGTTATAACTGCATTTTTATTGAAAATGAAAATGCTTGATTGAGAGTGAATATAAACTTCCAGCTAAGGATGGCAAATGGAACTCATGCATTTAATTTTTCTCATTCGTGATGCCTCTCTTATACAGTAAAGGTTTGTTTTTTTTTTTTAACGGAGTTTCACTCTGTAACCCAGGCTGGAGTGCAGTGGTGCTTTCTCAGCTCACTGCAGCCTCCGCCTCCTGGGTTCAAGTGATTCTCCTGCCTTAGCCTCCTGAGTAACTGGGACTACAGATGTGCACCACCATGCCCGGTTAATTTTTTGTAGTTTTAGTAGAGATGGGTTTCACCCTGTTGGCCAGGCTGGTCTTGAACTCCTGACCTCAAGTGATCTGCCCACCTTGGCCTCCCAACGTTCTGGGATTACAGGTGTCAGCCACCACACCTGGCCTCTTATACAAGAGAAATTTTTTTAGAAACATATACATTCATTCATGTGAGGAAATCTGGAGAGGAGAAGATAGCAACAAAAATTTTGGAAACTGGAAAGGAAACAGATATGACTTAGTAGACCCAAGAAAGCAAACACCTAAGCCGGCAGTGGGGAAGGCTGAAAACCATCCCAGTTTATACTACAGCAGTGATTCTCAAGCTTTACTGTGCATCAGAATCACATAGAGAACTTCTTAAAACACAAGATCCCAGGGGATGCTGACACTGCTAATTCATGAACCATATTTGAGAACTACTGCACTAGAAAATCCTAAGTAGGCTCCAGATTGGTTGTACTAGGTATATCTGGAAGTGTGGGTGAAGAAGGCCGCTAAAATAAGGAAAGCAAGTTAAACTTGTTTAGGAGCCGTCAGATATAATAGTAAAATTATATAATTAGTATACTCAGAGATAAAAGAAGATCATGTATCCATGAAGCAAGAACAGACTGCTTTAAAATAGAAATTCAGGGTGACCACAGTAGCTCATTCCTATATAAAATCCTAGCACTTTGGGAGGCTGAGGCAAGAGGATCACTTTAGCCCAGAAGTTCAAGACCAGCCGGGGCAACATGGCAAGACCCTGTCTGTACAAAAAATAAAGAAAAATAGTAGGACATGGTGGTGCCTACCTGTGGTCCCAGCTACTTAGGAGGCTAAGGTGGGAGGATCACTTGAGGCCAGGCAGCTGAGGTTGCTGTAATCCTAGCTACTTGGAAGGCTGAGGAAGGAGAATCGCTTGAACCCAGGAGGCGGGAGGGTGTAGTGAACCGAGATCGAGCCACTGCACTCCAGTCTGGACAACAGAGCAAGACCCTGTCTCAAAAAAAGAAGATTAATTAAGGTACTCTGTCACACAGTTGAGCAAAAAGATGTATAATTGTAGAGAAAGGGCAAAAACAATTTTGAGGCCAGGTGCGGTGATTCACGCCTGTAATCCTGGCACTTTGAGAGGCCAAGGCAGGCAGATCACTTGAGGTCAGGAGTTCAAGACCAGCCTGGCCAACATGGCAAAAACTCATCTCTACTAAAAATACAAAAATTAGCTGGGCATGGTGGCACAGCCTGCAGTCTCAGCTACATGGGAGGCTGAGGCAGGAGAATTGCTTCAACCCAGGAGGCAAAGGTTGCAGTGAGCCAAGATCGCCCCACTCTACTCTAACCTGAGTGACAGAAAAGAAAAAAATATTTAGAATGTCAGTCTAAACTCCAAATAATAGGAAGGAGTTTGAGAAAGAAAGCAAAGTTGATGAGGTAACACTATATAGTTTGTATTTTAGAAAGTTTGCCCATAACCCTAAGATACACATTTCTATATTGAAAGAACAAATTAGGGGAAAAGAGATCCATACCAAGGTAGTCATTGTGAAATTTCAGAACACAGGGAATACATCATTATCTACCTCAGGCAGCTGCAGTGTTAAATATTGTCTCTGATTTTTGAGAAGCATAGGAAGACGGGGGCTGTTCATACAGAGCAAGCTCCAAGTGTCCAGTCAAATAACATCCTTGCACGTCCTTCAGGGAACTACCAGACAGGTCAAATAATGACAGTTCTCTGGGAATGGGGCATTGCAAGAGCTCCAAACTCATTTTGCATCCTCCAGTGGCTGCCAACCTGAGGCTTTCATTGTGATTGTGGCCTGTTGGTTTTCAAGGCTACCATAGAGCTGGGGAACAACAAATGGGTACAGCGCAAATTAAAACACCACAAAGATAACTGTTAGCTTACTGAGAATCAGCTATTTTTCTTGAATAAGTGCTATGTGTATAAGCTTTTGTCTAATTTCCAAAGTTTTGAAAAAGCCAATTTTGACTATTTTCGTCCATGTTCTAATTTGTTTTGTGAAGATGATTTTCAGAGGTCCTTACTCTTTTTTGTTGATGTCACTGACATGTAGCTTTTTAAATTTAGGTTAATTAAAAGTAAATAATTAAGCCTGGGCAACATAGCAAGACCTTGTCTCTTAAAAAAATGATAAAAAGATTAGCTGAGCGGCCGGGCACAGTGGCTCACGCCTGTAATCCCAGCACTTTGGGAGGCCGAGGCGGGTGGATCACGAGGTCAAGAGATCGAGACCATCCTGGTCAACATGGTGAAACCCCGTCTCTACTAAAAATACAAAAAATTAGCTGGGCACGTTGGCGCATGCCTGTAATCCCAGCTACTCAGGAGGCTGAGGCAGGAGAATTGCCTGAACTCAGGAGGCGGAGGTTGCAGTGAGCCGAGATCGCGCCATTGCACTCCAGCCTGGGTAACAAGAGCGAAACTCTGCCTCAAAAAAAAAGAGATTAGCTGAGCATGGTGATTCATGCCTATAGTCCCAGCTACTCAGGAAGCTGAGGTGGGAGGATTACATGAACACAGGAGGTTGAGACTACAGTAAGCTATGATCGTATCACTGCACTCCTGCCTAGGTGGCAGAGCAAGACCCTGACTCTTAAAAAAAAAAAAACTAATTAATTGAATTCCTTAGTTTTACTAACCATTTTTCTTTTTCTTTATTATTTATTATTTTGGAAGAGATGGAGTTTCACCATGTTATCCAGGCTGGTCTCAGAACTCCTGAGCTCAGGTGATCCGCCTGCCCTCAGCCTCCCAAAGTGTTGGGATTACAGGGATAAGCCACCATACCTGGCCGCATTTTTCTTTTTTTTTAGTCAAGGTCTCACTCTGTCACCCAGGCTGGAGTGCACTGGTGCCATTATAGCTTACTGCAGCCTCAGTCCCCTGGGCTTAAGCAACCCTCCCACCTCCGCCTCCCAAACAGCTGATATTATAGGCATAAGCCACAGTGCCCCAGCCTTGCTAACCATTTTTCAAATGCAGAAAAGCCACATGTGACTAGTGCTTACAGCATTGGACAGCATAGATACAGAACATTTCTTTTTTTTTTTTTTTTTTTGAGATGGAGCCTCGCTGTGTCATCCAGGCTGGAGTACAGTGGAGCAATCTCCACTCACTGCAACCTCTGTCTCCCGTGCTCAAGGGATTCTCCTGCCTCAGCTTCCGAGTAGCTGGGATTACAGGCACATGCCACCGCGACCAGCTAATTTTTCTATTTTTAGCAGAGACAGGGTGTTTCCATGTTGTTCAGGCTGGTCTCGAACTCGTTTTTTTTTTTTTTTTTTTTTTTTTTTTTTGAGACGGAGTTTCGCTCTTGTTACCCAGGCTGGAGTGTAATGGCGCGATCTCGGCTCACCGCAACCTCCGCCTCCTGGGTTCAGGCACTCTTGCCTCAGCCTCCTGAGTAGCTGGGATTACAGGCACGCGCCACCATGCCCAGCTAATTTTTTGTATTTTTAGTAGAGACGGGGTTTCACCATGTTGACCAGGATGGTCTCGATCTCTTGACCTCGTGATCCACCCGCCTCGGCCTCCCAAAGTGCTGAGATTACAGGCGTGAGCCACCGCGCCTGGCTGCTCGAACTCTTGACCTTGAGATTCACCCACCTCAGCTTCCCAAAGTGCTGGGATTACAGGCATGAGCCACCGCACCTGGCAATACAGAACATTTCTATCATCTCAAAGTTCTATTGGACAGAGTTGCTTTAAGGGATTACCCTATTATAAAATGATGAGTATACTAAAGCTCAAAAAAATTAATTCATTCAGACTTTCTGAGATTGCAAAACTTCGTGTTGTTTACAACCAGCCTTCTCTCCGTGCTTTGGAGCTTTTTCATGTCAGGGAATACAAAGAAAATGCTATTTGTGTAGAGCACATTGTGACTAACAGATCATCAGCCCCTAGTCTCCTGCTCTCCTGCTGCTGTTGTCTTTACACACTCAGCACATGAATGAGGAGGATCAACAGCTTACCACACTTACCTGATCATGCAGTTCTGCTGAACATTATAACAGTGGTTCTCAAAGTGTGGTTCCAAGACCTGAAGCATCAGAGTTACCTGGGAGCATGTTAGCAATGTAATTTCTCAGCTCCCATCGCCATCCCAGACTTAACAAATCAGAAATTCTGGGAATGGGGGTAAGCAGTTTGTAGTTTAACAAGCCCTCCAGGTGATTCCAATACACATAAAAGCTTGAGTCCTACTGTATTATAATATAAAAAGCTTATTCAGTGAATACTGCTATGAAAATTGGTTGTCCTTTATGGACAATACAGACACACAACAAAACAATGTATAATATATATATATATATTAAATGCCTGGAAAATCAATAACAAAAATTGTATCCTAAATACCACCTTTTGTCCCCCTCTTCAGAGATATTGCTGTCTATATCCAAGTGAATCAGTTAATTTTTATATTGAACTAACATACATTTCGTAGGTTTGCTCAGTTTAATTTTATGTTCAAACGCTCCTCAGCATCCTCCTTTTCTTCAGCTTTGTTTTAATATTTAGATATTACGGTTATTAATTCAGTGTCTAATAGTAGAATTAGTAAGTTGAGCAAAAGCTTCAGTGCCAAGACACAGAATCTGTCTTTATATGTTTGCCTTGTGGTTCTTAAATTTTTAAAAGTCATTGACTCCTTGAAGAATGTGTTACTAGAAATGGATATTGTGGCTGGGCATAGTGGCTCATGCCTGTAATCCCAGCACTTTGCAAGGCCAAGGCAGACGGATCATTTGAAGTCAGGACTTCAAGACCACACTGGCCAACATGGTGAAACCTCGTCTCTGCAAAAAATACAAAAATTAGCCGGGCATGGTGTGCAGCTACTCAGGAGACTGAGGCAGAAGAATCACTTGAACCCAGAGTGCAGAAGTTGCAGTAAGCCGAGATCACACCACTGTACCCTGTCTGGGCAACAGAGTGAGACTCTGTCTCAAAAGAAAAAAAAAAGGAAAAAAGAAATGGATATTCTCACGAGAAAAATATGCCTATATCTAATGTTTTGAATAAAATTTCAAAATATGTTGACTTAATAGTAATGGAATAAAGATTTAGTTAGAAGTTCATGTTTTGTAGGATATTGCATATCCTACAATCTAGTTTGTTTATTTATTTTTTTTAAATAACTTGTTCCTTTTTTTCCTCCTACTTGTAATTCTAAGGTGGATACATTGCAAATAGCCTAGCAATCATGACAGATGCACTTCATATGTTAACTGACCTAAGCGCCATCATACTCACCCTGCTTGCTTTGTGGCTATCATCAAAATCACCAACTAAAAGATTCACCTTTGGATTTCATCGCTTAGGTAGGTAATTGGGGTTTCTTTTGCTTTATAATATTTATAGTAAAACCACAATGAGCTATAACTTGATTAACTGAACTCGTTCCAGTGATACCTTGTTTGAACAAAGCAAATGAAAATAGATAAACAAGATTTATTCAAAAACATCTCTTTCAGGGTACATTCAGCCCAGTCAGCTAAACAGTTTATACATATAAAATTATATGATAATCATTAATTTTTAAACATTGCTCCCTGTGTCCTGAAGATACCATCAGAAGAAAGTTTACTTTCAGTTTATTGAACAAAGCAAAACCACATGGGTTTAACCCATTAGTGAGCATTAGCTTCTCCCTTTTACTACAGGTATTTTAGCCAAAGCTACCATAGCTTAGATTTTAAGAAGAGCTATCATTTGTATTGTTAAAATGCATGCGCTGAATGAAGAGACCTCCCCCAAAACAGACTTTGTGTGAGCAACATGGCTGTTTATTCACGTGTGTGCAGGCGAGCTGAGGCTGAAAAGGGCATCAGTGAAAGGCAGTGGAATAGAAATTGGGTTTTTTTTTTTGAAACAGAGTCTTGCTTTGTTGTGGAGTGCAATGGCGCGATCTCGGCTCACTGCAACCTCTGCCTCCTGTGTTCAAGCAATTCTGCCTCAGCCTCTCGAGTAGCTGGGACCACAGGCACGCACCACCATGCCCAGCTAAGTTTTGTATTTTTTAGTAGAGACAGAGTTTCGCCATGGTCTCGATCTGTTGACCTCGTGATCCGCCCACCTTGGCCTCCCAAAGTGCTGGGATTATAGGCGTGAGCCACCGTGCTTGACAAGGAGTTGGCTTTATAGGTTTGGAGTGGGCAGTGGAAAGTTGCAGTTTAGGGCAGTTTTTTGCAAGCTGGAAGAGGGTCATAGGGTGTGGAGTCAGGAGGTTGACCAAGGTCAGTTACAAACTTCAATGGCCTCATCAATTAAGATGGGAATAAGGAAGAATAGAGAATGTCTCAAAGTTGAGTAGGCACTGAAGGGCTTGATGATTTCTTCCTCTTTTCATGGTCTTTCAGTTACTTTAGATTTTCCAGGAACTCATCTGGCGTGTCCCTGCAGCTCACAGAGATTAACATGGTGTCCATGGCACCATCAGTCAACCTAAAAGACCTTACATGTATACTGTATACTACGTGGCTGAACTTGACTGCAACCATTGCATCAATGTAATTCTGCAAAAGCACACATTTGTCTTTGCCTGTTTTGAACAAATATTAATGTTTAATTATGAAGAGTTGAAATCATACATTGCTGTATACACAGCTCTTCTTACTGTATTACTGTTTTTAAACTTTTTGCTTATTTTGAAAATATGTATAAAATAATTACCTGAACTATTATATGAAATGCCATTCACCCAGATGTCAGACCCCAAAGTAGAACCAAAAAGTTGACATTTAAGTAGCTTCAGCAAAACTTGCCTCAAAGAACTAGAGTTAACATCTGATAATTTCATTTTGTAGGAACACTGATGTTCCTGGCTAATATATCAATCAATTCTTCATCTTCCTTGTTATTTTTTAGCCTAAAAAATTTTTAACTCAGCCTGTTGGACTTCTTTTTGTTTGCTTCTTTACCTATATTTTCTTTGTATTTGCTTTTGTTTCTGTTTTTAAGGTAGAGTCTTGCTCTGTTGCCCAGACAGGAGTGCAGTGGTGTGATCTCAGCTCACTGCAACCTCTGCTTCCCAGGCTCAAGAGATCTTCCCACCTCAGCCTTCCAAGTAGCTGGGACCATAGGCCTGTACCAGCATGCCCAGCTAATTTTTGTATCTTTTTGTAGAGACAGGGTCTACCTACAAGGGGGTTATCCCTCGTCCAGACTGATGTCAAACTCCTGCGCTCAAGCCATCTTTCTGCCTTGGCCTCCCAAAATGCTGGGATTACAGGTGTGAGCCACAATGACTGGCCCACAGCATCTAGGAATTCTTATTTGTGACTGGGTCTTCTGGTGCAAAACTTGACAGTATACCTAAATGGTGATATTCCAAGTAGCTATCCAGGTCACAAGGTTGGAAAATTATCTAGCATCCCTACCCCTCAGCACTCTCAGCTGCTGTATGAAAGAACTAAAGCCCCAAGTGAAGTTTTTCTTTTGTTAAGCTACTGCACAATGCATGTGAATGTGTTCTTGCCTGGACTCAATGGCTCACACCTGTAATCCCAGCACTTTGGGAGGCTGAGGTGGGTGGATCACCTGAGGTCAGAACTTCAAGACTAGCCTGGCCAACATGGTGAAACCCCATCTCTACTAAAAATACAAAAATTAGCTGGGTGTGGTGGCACACACCTGTAATTCCAGCTACTTGGGAGGCTGTTCCAAAATAAGTCTTATTTTTATTAGAATTCAGGGTTCTGCCACTTTATATCCTGATTCTCTACCTGCTCACCCTAAAGGAATACAGTTGTCCTACTTTGCCCTGCCCTACACCTTATATTAATTACCATTTTAGGCTGGGCATAGTGGCTTATGCCTGCAATCCCAGCATTGTGGGAGACTGAGGCAGGAGGATCACTTGAGCCCAGAAGTTCAGAATCAGCCTGGGCAACATAGGAAGACTATGTCGCTACCAAAAACTATTATTTCAATTCATTTCTGGTTTATCCTTACAGGATTTCCTTTTCACAAAAGATAGTTTCCTTATCCTTCTACCCTAAGTATGAATAGACAACCAAGAATCTTCCAGCATATGGGAAAAAACAGCAGCATGAACTAAAATAACCAAACTAAACTAACAGAAAAATTAACCCTAAAGAAAAGAGAGGTAACTTAAAGAACCAGGAGAGGCTGGGCACAGCCTATAATCCTTGTACTTTTTGAGAGGCCAAGGATCACTTGAAGCCAGGAGTTTGAGACCAGCCTGGCCAACATGGCAAAACCCTATTTCTAATAAAAATACAAAACTTAGCTGGACGTGCTGGTGCCTACCTGTAATACCAGCTGCTCTGAAGACTGAAACACGAGAATCACTTGAACTCAGGAGGTAAAGGTTGCAGTGAGCCAAGATGGAGCCACTGCACTCCAGGCTGGGCAAAAGAGTGAGACAACATCCCCCCCCAAAAAAAGAAAAAAGAACCAGGAGAAAAGTTTTTAAATTATATTATATGCTCAGAATAATAAAACAATAAAACGTTTTGGAAAAATAAATATGAGAGATAGCTCTTTCAAATTAAAATTATTCCCAAAATTTATTATTTATTTATGTAAACCACTGTTTTTTTTTTTTTTTTTTTTTTGAGACAGTCAAAAAAGAGAGTCTCTCTCTTGTCCAGGCTAGAGCGCAGTGTCAGGATCTCGACTCACTGCAACCTCTGCCTCCTGGGTTCAAGTAATTCTTGTGGCTCAGCCTCTTGAGTAGCTGGGACCACAGGCTTGTGCCACCACACTGGGCTAATATATATATATATATTTATTTTAGTAGAGATGGGGTTTCACCATGTTGGCCAGGCTGGTCTTGAACTCCTGGCCTCAAGTGATCCACCCGCCTCAGCCTGCCAAAGTGCTGGGATTACAGGCATAAACCACTGCACCCAATCATTCCTGAAATTTAGAAATGTTTTATTTTTTTAAGACGGTCTCATTCTGTCACCCAGGCTAGAGCTGGAGTATAGTGGGACCATCATAGCTTACTGCAACCTCAAACTCCTGGGCTCAAGGGATCCTCCCACCTCAGCTTCTTAAGTAATTGGGACTACAGGCACAAGCCACTGGGCCCTGCTAATTTTTTTTTTTTTTCTTGGTAGAGATGGAGTCTCACTGTTTTGCCCAGGTTGGTCTCGAACTCCTGGGTCCAGGTGTTTTTTCTGCCTTAGCCTTCCAGAGCGCTGAGATAACAGGCATGAACCACTGTGCCAGGCCAAAATTTTTATGTTTAACAGGAGACCTAGGCTGGGTGCAGTGGCTCATGCCTGTAATCCTAGCACTTTGGGAGGCTGAGGTGGGAGGATTGCATGAAGCCAGGAGTCCAAGACCAGCCTGGGCAACCAAGTGAGAGCTCGTCTTCTACAAAAATTTTAAAAATTAGCTAGGTGTGGTGGTATGTTTCTGTAGTCCCAGCAGCTCAGGGAAGCCGAAGCAAGAGGATTGCTCGAGTCCAATAGTGTAAGGCTGCATGCAGAGCTGTGATTGCGCCACTGCACTCCAGCCTGAGCAACAAAGCAAGGTCCATCTCTTTAAAAAAAACAAAAATTTTAAAACATCACCCCTGTAATCCTAGCACTTTGGGAAACTGAAGCGGAAGGATCGCTTGAGGCCAGGAGTTCAAGACCAGCCTGGGCAACATGGCAAAACCAGTCTCTACCAAAAAATACAAAAATTAGCTGAGCGAGGTAGCACATGCTATAGCCCCATGTAATCAGGAGGCTGAGGCTGATGGTTTGAGCCCAGGAAGTGGAGGTTGAATTTGGTGAATAAAGCTGTAACCCAAAGCAGTTGGTGTTCCTGAGTTCCACAGTACCATTGCTTCATGAGTAATCTTTTGAAGTGAGCTGAGTTCACAGTATTGCAACCCAGCTTCAGTGACAGAGCCAGACCCCAATCTAGGAAGTCCAAAGCCTTAATATTAAGAACCTCAGAAAAATAGAACTTAAAAAATAAAAAGAAGTAACTACTTAATATGTGTGGTATTTCTTTTTGAGGTATTGAACATGTTTTGGAATTAGTAGTGATAATGGCTTACAACTTTGTACATGTACACTTTAAGATGGTAAATTTTGTTACATTAATTTTATCTCAATTTTTTAAAGTCATCTAAAAAATGAAAGGGAGTGAATTGTTAAAGATATAGATAGATGGGTATTTCCAGAGCTAAGGAGATACTCAAGCTTCATACTGAAACTTTTGGCATCTTCTTTCTATTTTGTATTCTAAAATATTATGAGGACATATCTAGAAATAGACCTTATTTTAGTTACTCTACTCTTTGAAGTAATGGAGATTTAGAAGAAAAAAACTTATATTTGCTTGAGGAAGATTCAAA